CCTCCAAAACGTAAAGGTAAACTGCACCCCTCTATCTGAGATGATGCATTGGGGTGTAATTGATAGATATGATGCAGGAATAATTTGGCAAGGCCCCGAGATGATGGAGTCTTCTGGCATGGAATAAAATGCACCTGCTTGGAGAACAAATTAATCACTACTCAAATTACCATATTTCCCACGCTTTCGGGGAGTTCCACAATAAAGATCTCTCTCCAAGGTGCTGACAGCTTAACTACCATCTGAAGAAGTCTGGTGTCTTTCCTTGCCGCCGCTTGGCTGAGGCTCAAACAGGGCAATTGGCCATGTAGCTTTCAATGTCTTTTTTGAGAGATGGCCACCAAAACTGCCTTTTCACTAATTGTAACGTTTTCACGAAACCAAAATGTTCCGCCGTTTTGGAATCATGGCAGTTTCCTAGAATCATGAGTCACTGAATAGCTGGTACATAAAGCTTCACCCCCATCTATGGTAGTCCATCTCGGACTGAGCAAACGTTACTATGTATCTGGAACCATTTGTTATCCATTAGTGCAGCTTTTAAGGGCGGGAATCACATCACTGTCTATTGGAGGTTTTCCTTTTGTCTGCATTCGGCTAGTTACTTGGACCGTCAGCTGACGGGATGGAAGCACTGGTTTGATTAACTCTGCTTTGGAACAATTGTATTGCGGCATATGTAACAGTATGTTGGCTAGAAAGTTCTTCCTCCCTGGGAGGTAGCTAAGGGTGAAATCAGAGCAGTTGAAGTATTGTGCCCATTGTGCTTGTCTAGGAGAGAGCTCATGGGGGGGGGGGTTCAGAACTTCCAGATTCCTGTGATCAGTCCATACTTTGAAAGGTATTTTACTCCCTTCTAAGTAGTGCCTCCAGGAGAGGAGTTCCCATCTCACTGCATAAGCCTCTTTCTCCCACACAGCCCATCACTGTTCAGTCTCAGAAACCTTTTTGGAGGTATAAGTGCAGGGTTGCAGCTGCCCATTTTTGTTTTCCTGCAGTAAAACAGCTTCTACAGCTTCATCACTTGCATCAGCTTATATAACAAACAGTTTGGGTCAGGGTGGTTTAGAACAGGTTCAATGTAAAAAAAGCCTTTGAGCTTCTCAAATGCAGCTTGACATCGACCATTTCAAGGGTTTGTCCCCTCCTTTAGTTTTTAGCAAGTTCATAATGGGGAGGGCTATTTGGGCAAATGAAGGAATGAATTGCCTGTAAAAATTTGCAAACCCTAGGAAGCTTTGCAGTTGCTTCCTAGTGCAGAGTGGTGCCCATTCTAGCACCTCTCTTTTCAGGGTCCATTTCAATTCTGTCATGCCCAGGTAGTCTATTTTGCTTTGGTGGAATTCACATTTAGAGAGCTTGGCATACAATTTGGCAGCATGTAGCTTCTGGAAGACTACCCTCACTAGTTTCACATGTTCCACTTTGGTCTCAGTATAGATCAAAATGTTGTCCAACTACACCAGCACCCCCTTGTACAGATGCTCATGTAGGACTCATTAATCAACTGTATGAAGACAGCAGGGGCTCCCTGTAATCCAAAAGGAAGTACTTTGCATTGGAAACAACCCAGCGGGTAATTGAACACAGTTTTCCATTCATCGCTTTCCCTGATTCTTATGCAGTAATACACTTCCTGCAAATCTAGTTTAGTAAAATTTCTTCCCTTAGTCAGATGGGCTAGCATGTCCTTCATCAGGGGTACATGGTAAACATTCTACACACACACACACACACACACACACACACACACTGTGTTTAATCTTCTAGGATCCCATCCTTCTTTTCCTGGAATAGGACCAGGGCAGCCACCCAGGGTCATGTCGCTTGAATGAAACCTCGGGCTAAATTCCTATCAATGAACAGTCACAATTCTTCTAGCTTTCTGGGGATCATTGAATATAATTTTGGTTTTGTAGCTTGGCACCTGGCAAGATTTCTATAGCACAGTCAGTAAGCCTGTGAGGGGGAGTTCATCTGACCCCTTCTCGCTAAACACATCTCTGAGATCTCAGTTTTTGTTGGGAATGATGGGGAGGTCTTTCCTTGCATAGTAACTCCTAGTTTGTGCTGTGGGATGGTCACTTTTTGAATTTTTTACTGGGTCTGGGAGAGGCAATGCATCCGGAGTTTTAACAATCCACCTTTTTAGCCAGGCTAGCCCTAGGACTAGGAGTCTTTCCATCCCAGGTGCCATTATGGAGCTCAGGACCTCTGAATGGGCCCCATCTACATCCCTATGGGTTTGGTGGCAAATGTTGCTGGGATGCTCCATGCAACACACCCATCTAATTGGCAGAACGCAGTCGGGACTTTTAGCTCTTAGTCTGATTCCATGTTTCTTGACCAGTGCTAGATCTACCAAGTGCCTGGTGCAGCCCGAGTTTAATTGGGCCCTTAAATCGGCTTTCATTCTTTACCCAGGGAAGCTCAGTTCTATGGGAATTGACACTGGCAAAACTGGGCCACTTAACTAGGGAGTCGTTGTTGGAATCGATGTCTATCAACCCCTGGTTGTCATCTGTTGGGATCAGAGTTTGGGCAATAGGGATGATCTTCACTCCCTTCAATGCCATTTCTCTGGCATGTGGTTGCGCCTTGGTGGTTTTCCTTGCAGGTTTTGGGCTTGCCTTCTTGGCTATATAGCCAGTCTTACGTTCTGTAGCTTGGTGTCCTTCCTGGCCACATTTAAAGCAGGCTGTGGATCGGACTTACGAAGCCTGGGGTTTTGTTGCTTCCCTCTTCTCCAGGGGTGATCTTTTCCATGCCCTTGCCGCATGGTACTTGTTCCGGGCTTAGACAATCTCTATTTCTTCAGCCAGTACGCACCAGTTGTGGAGGGTTGCAGGGGACCCCCTTGCAACACAGGCATGGTACAAGTCATTCTTCAGCCCATCTTTAAAACAGCTGATAAGGATGTCTTCTGGTCAGTCAAGTCGGCATGCCAAATCATGATTTTCCTCAGTGTACTCTTCCACAGCTCTGCGGCCTTGCTGCACAGTCTTTATGCAGTCCCTCATTTTTCAATCACCCAGAGGGTCCTCAAACTGGCGATGGAGCACTGTCATGAACTGCTCAGTTCACAAGTGTTCTCATTGTGGAGTATCACCATCCAATGGTCTGCAGCTTCTTTCAGCTCAGTGTGACACATCTCATTTTGGTGCCTTCATTGGTGCTCTTGGGCCCATACTCTTGCATGTAGGTCAAGACATGGGCCAGGAAGAATCCCAGTTATTGGGAGTCCCTGTCAAATTTCATGCCCAGCGGTGGGGCTTTTTGTCTTCGTGGGACTGCTGCACCAGCACCTCCCAGGACATTGGTTCTAGTGAGTCCCCTTTGTACTGTTCCAGCAGTCGTGATGGCACTGACTGGGGTTGCTGAAATTCCTGCCATGCTGTCTTGTGGTAAGATTTTCTCACCATCATCCTCCTCTCAGGTTTGGCGGATGTCACCAACAGTCATCCAGGCTAGGGTTTCGCGTGCCTTAAGGTTCTGGAATCCATCCATCATGAAGCACATGGCTTACTTCATGAGGAGGTTGGTGTGGTCAGCCTCACTGTCTTCTTCCCATTCATCTTTGAGCTCTTCAGCTCCACTTGCCAGTTGTGTCCTTGGCTGCCTCAGGTGAGGGTTATCCCCAGCATTCTGCTTCCTCTTGGTCGCTTCCTTATGCAGACATTCCTTGCACGGTCCCCACGGTAGGGCTCGGTGCCTCCAATTTTGCAGATTCTGCCTAATGTAAGGACCTGCCCCAGCTGACCCGATCAGGAAAGCACAACTCTTGACTCCATAAGGTTAATCAACAGAACTTTTACTGAGAGAAATAGTTGCAGAAAAGACAGGTGGAATCTAAAGTCCTGCGCAAAGCACAAAGCAATTCTTCCCATTCCAAAAGCCACCCCCCACAACCAGTCCACCAGCTGCCAATACAGTGCCACAAGATTATTTTGAAAGTGCTGGATACAGACTTGATAACGAGTCATCCTCAGGGCGCAGCATCTTTGGAGTCAGGCTGGAACCGGCTGAGAGGGAGTCCATTTCGTCTCTGAAGATGATCCCTCTCCCTAATTCCCATGCAGCAGAAGCAAAAACATGGAAAGAATGCTCCCCAGAGTCTTCTCCCCCTCCAACAGGATGGCAGGGTTTCCGAAGGGGACCTGAGATACAGTTGTTTTTGTTTCCTCCCATAGCTCATCTCATTGTCTTTCTGTGATGTTGAGCGGTTCAAATCATTTCTCAACTTCAACTGCACATGCTGGGGGAATCTTCTTAATGTCAAATTTCTGAATCATGGGTGGTCATTCAAATTTGGAATACTTTTGGTAAAATATTTTATTTGGAAAAGAACAAAAAAAAAAACCACGTGCCAAAGAAGTTTTCTTTTCATTTAGGTGCCTTAGGGGAACGTTTAATATGTTAATTATTCAGAATAGAAAGAATTCCCAAGTATCTTTTTTTTTCTATCTGTGGAAATAAAGCATGACAGGTATACAGAAGATCCTGTATATAGGGGGTATGAATAACAGATTAACAGAATTTATGTTGTGTGTCCAGTGGAAGGAGATCAATGAGTTTGAAACATTTCAGATAAAAATAGATTACAGTATTATTTTTTTAGAAAAAGTTATCTATCACTTTTAGAACTCCCTAGCTTTGAAAAATTTATTTAATCGGTTTACATACTGTCTGCACTTAGAGTATAGGTCTAAATTGCTGCTTACAAAGTGCCATGTCAAATCCAGATCTTATAGTCATACAGTATATCTGACAGGTCAGAGCTCCACATGTGAACTAGTTTTAACTTCAGTTCTTCACTTTCAAAAATATTCACAGTGATAACTTCTATATAAAGCTGGTACATGATTTAAAATATTCATCATGACATCTCTGAGTGAAAGCATCTGTTAAGGCAAGCCTATGGTTCTTGTTTTGAATATAATAATAATTCACATATCTTTTGACTCAATTATCTTTACTTCTATTTTCCCATCATAATACAGCCCAGCGCTAAGTTTCGCATACCCTCCCACACCAGTATCCCTCCAGCAGATGCATCAACAGATCATCAGTCGACAGCAAAGTCTGGGTTCAGCCTTTGGGCATAGTCCTCCACTCATCCATCCTGCTCCAACCTTTCCTACGCAGAGGCCTATCCCCGGCATCCCTAATGTCTTGAATCCTGTTCAGGTCAGCTCAGGTCCTTCAGAAGCTGCACAGGTAAGGGAATGTAAGGAAAGATTTTTGCACCATACTGACTTGTCCACAATAGCGATTAATCATCACAGCTCTTAGAACAGATTTGCTAACAAGTACCTTGGGGCTGCAATGTATGCAGTCTTTTATTATAAATTACCTTGAGTATATTATGCTTTTGAATTGATGGAGTGTTTTCCATCCCTTATAAATATTTCAATAACTTCCAGATTCTTTGTGTAGGAACTTACAGTTTTAGAATGTTCAAGTAAAGGACATTTGAACAGCAAAGGGATACAATTTATACCCTGCTTTAAAGAAGGTAAATGACAAAAATCTCTCTGATTTTTGAACCAAAGATTAGGATCCAAAGATGCCCATGAACATATGCTAAGTTATGAAACAGCAATTTCTCTTTTGCTTTATACTTCATGATACATAGAATACTAAGATAGAGATTTCTCAAATTTCCAGTACAGTCAGAAAATTTCAAGAGCCCATGTTAAGTAGAAAAGAAGCAGACAATTTGAAAAAACATAGTGTGTGTCAATACAATATTTCCCAAATCAACGGACATGGTATTGCATTCTCTGTGGAGGGATAAAGCTGTGTTAGAAAAATTTGTAAGATTCTGCTATCTTCAGCCCATTTCAAAGATCTTATGTTAATTTGTTGCAGATCGTGATCATCCTAAACTAGAAGGCTCTAAAATTATAATAATATAATCCGGAACATATACTGAATAAACTAATTCTGTGTAATATTTAAGGAAATGTATGTTTAGATACATTTATTTCAAGTAGAAGATAGCAAAATGTGTCCTTCAGGTAAAAGGCAATGAAAAAGAGTTTATTTCATTTTTTTTTTAAGTGAGTAATAAAAAATGTAAAATTTCATCTAGGCAAATATAGAAAGAGTGCAGTAATAAATTTCTTAGATAAATAGTTTATCTTTTTTTCTTGTGTTGGACTGGTTTGTTACTGAGTTCAGAAAAGTTTCAGTCAGGAAGGTTTATTTTCTTATGTAATAATTTATCTAAAGAAATTATATAAATTATTATATAACATTCAATCAGGATTTTTTTTCTCCCTAAGTAAAAGCATTACTGAGAAATTATAATTTTGAAAATGGAAGAGAAATTCAAGAACATAAAAAGATTTCTCTCAATCATAGAAATCTGAACTCAGTGAACTTTAGTGGTTTCCTTGAATATTCTGCATATATTGTATTTTAATTCAAAGTCTACTTATATTTTTTGGGTATAAATATATGCTGCAGAGTAAGCCCACAAGTGAGTCTGCAGTGAGCAGCACAGGGGACCCAATGCATAACAAGCGTTCCAAGATAAAACCAGATGATGACCTCCCCAGCCCAGGAGCTGGAAGCATACAGGTAAACTATGCTTTTATCTGTCATAGGAAGAGGGCACATTTTGTATTAATTGTTTTTGTGAATAATTTTTGCAAAAGCATATGCTCTACATCTACTATTAATCTTTGCATAACATTTTACAATGGCAATTATTGGTTGCTTGATCAGGAAAAATTGAGTCCTGTAAAGGCTGTCTCAAGATCCCAAGTTGCTATTGACTCTAACAAAATTTTAATAGTATCATTGCGAGAAATGAATGGAGTAATCTTTCATTAGATTGAAGCTTGAAATACCCAAAAAGGTAATGTAAACCCTGAAATTAAATTGTTTTTTTAAAAGAGCATCCTCAGTTCCTCCACCCTCTCTAAAATCTTAAAATCCAAGCCCAAGTCCACAAACATGATATTGGTATCTCCTTGTTTGCATATTTGTTGCCCCTCCTGCCTCCCCCTCACATAAAAAAGGCAATAAGCGAAGTTCTAGAAATGCCTTTCTGTGATCATGAATTTGTTCATAAATCTGCTTTTGCGTAGGTGTTGTTTAGTAATCACTTCATTAAATCTTCATTTTTATTTTTATTCTGAGACAACATTTGCTTTAAATAGCAGTTTCAGTGGTATTAAAATTGGTCAATTGAGATAACATGAACAGTTGCTGAGGACAGATTGCACATCATTGATAACTTAAAAGCTGTGGCTAAGGAGATGGACTCCTTTTCTGAACAGTTTCTTCACATCATGCTGCATACCAATAATGATTTACATTTAAAATAGTTTATTTTGTATAACAGCAGATGGATCTAAAAGTATTGCTCTGTTTTAGCAAAGCTTTAAAACTTTATCAGAAGTGGGCTTAATCTGGACAACAAGACAATTCTGTTACAGACTTTGTAATTTTTATTTTATTTTTATTTTATTTCAAAGTTGAAAGTTGAGAAAGTTTGGGAAAAAGATGAAGGATTGTAGATATGTATCCTAAAACTGTACCTTTATCTTTTTTTTAGTCCCAATATCAGCTTGGGACTCAATAATAGTAGAAGCTTTAAATAAGTTAAGACCTAAGTGTTTGTTTTTTCATCTGCTTCCTCACTTCCGTGGCCATCACAGGAACCACCGGAAGGAATGACCTCAATAAAGGAGGAAGGGGAGAAAGATGAAAGCAAGCAAGAACCTGAAGTGGTCTATGAGACAAACTGCCATTGGGACGGCTGTTCACGAGAGTTTGACATGCAGGAGCAACTAGTGCATGTAAGTTAATGGCATTCAGGAGATGGCTTTGAAAACTATCTGACCTTTTCTAAAGGGTCAGGCACTCAGACTCTTTGCTGAGTCAAGTTTCTTTACAGACTACATTGCTGACTGGAGGCAGCTTATGGATTTCTGTGAATAAAGTAAAACTCCAAGCTGACCTGTTCAGTCAGCTAAAGCTTAGTGTAAAATTCAATAAAGTCTCCAATAGAGAGTGTAATGGCTCTGATCCTGTAAGCCATAAAATACTATTTTGAATCAGAGACTTTGGTAGTTATTGAGAAAAAATAAGCTGGGCATGAGTTATTAACTTTTTTGCCAAGTCTGATGCTTCCAGTTCTTTCAAATTAGCTTGCAACAATAGAAACAAGAGAGTTCCCCTATAACTCTAGGATATTTGGTGTATTTAATACATCAAACTTTTATTATTTAATAATATAAAGTATATATGGTGAAGTAAATTATTTAGGAAAATAAAATAAATATATTGCTTTTTGGGCTTTCCATTTCCATAATATGACAGGAGTTTTGTCTGGGAGAAAGTATAGCATGTAACTTTGAAATGGTTTTCATAGATAGTAACCACCTATAATAATTTTGAATGATTGTTTCAGATAATAACCACGTATAGTAGTTTTGAATGATAATAGATGAATACATGACTGGAAAATTACAATGTTTTAATTTGCACCCAGCGTACTTCCAGTCAGTTTCTATATCCAAATCAGAGCAAATGGACATGCTACTCAGTTCAGGTAGCAAACACTATAGCTTGATAGTTATTTATTAAACATTAGTAAATATAAAATGATTAATTGGAAAAAGACAAACCTGGAAGTCATGAGAAAGCTGAGAGAAATGAACCACAGCACCAGGGGGCAGGACAAGAAACAATGGTTAGAAACTGACCAAAGAGAGAAGCAACCTGGAATTAAGGAGAAACTTCCTAACAATGAGGACAATTAAGCAGTGGAACAGCTTGCCTTCAGAAATCATGGGCGCTCCATCACTGGAAATTTTTAAGAAGAGGCAAGACAGTCACTTGTCTGAAATGGTATAGGTTCTCCTGCTTGAGCAGGGGGCTGGACTAGAAGACCTCCAAGGTCCCGTCCAGCTCTATTCTATTCTAAGAAATAAAAAGGTCAAAGGATTTAATATCAAGAATCTGCATTGTCAAAATCTATCTATTAAAATGCACTTTTTCCAGAGCCACTGAAAGTTAATTACTATAAGTAATTAACACGAGCAATCTCAAATGAGATATTTGGTTTTTCAGCTTTAACCCCTTTGTAGATATAAAAGGAGCAAAATTGGAATGGAAATTAGGACATTAGGTGATCCCTTTTCTCTTTTACACCATGAAGGAAACAATTGATGGATGGAAGTAATATATCTAACATTCGTCTTCTCATAAGACCCCACAAGTAATAGGTTATATCACCATGCATTTTTATGCACAGTGCTTCTCTCAGTGTGGGAAATAGGTTACTAGGCAATGGCATCAATTGGACAATACATCAGTTTTACTTATTTTCTTTTTTCCGTGTCCTTTGTATAATACCATTTAAAATATACCTATTTCATATTGGGTTTTGATTGCTATATCCCATATTCTCGGTTCTAACATGGTTGGAACTGGTTCTTTTATTTTGAATTCTATCAATAGTTTGTAGAGTTATACAAATTTCCTGCATGCTTGTTTTGTTTCAGTACAGGTAGTCCTTCAGTACAGGTAGTCCATTCATTCAGCAATTGTTGAAAGTTACAGCAGGCCTGGAAAAATGGATTTGTTCTTGAGGTTCTGGCCATTGCAGCATTCCCATGGTCATTTGATCAGAATATGGGTGATTGTGTGCCCAGTCTGTGATTGCACATCACAGGGAGACATGGTCACATAAACCCTATTTGTAACCTTCCTTCCAGCTTTCCATTAGAAATGTCAGTGGGAAAACCAGCTGGGAAGGTTGCAAATCACTCAAGTAAGTTGCTCCTGCTTTTTCTTCCAATCTCCCATACATGTTCAGCCTCCAGAGGTCCTCCCTGACTTCCCATATTTCACATGTGGCCTGCACTACCTCCCAGAACCTCCCCAATCACCCACAACCTTGGTGCAGCCTGTGCTGGCACTTCCTAGCTCTTTTCAGGCTTCCGGTGAGACTGTGCTAGCCCTCCCAGCCACCTAGGATTCGTGTGGCCTGTGCTATTCTTCTCAGGCCCTCCCCCATCTCCACAATCATCCCCTCACTCCTTACTGGCTTTCTTCCCTCTTCCCACTTAACAACCCATGCATCCTGGGGATACAACATAAAACAACACCATATTTTACAGTCACATCCCTTAGCAATAGGCAGCCTCAATTTCTGTTATAATCCAAAGTCTACCTAGATTCAACTTTTACAGATGACAGAACTGTAATCTTCTGCTTCTTACTGCACTATATGATAGATATACTTCCATATAAGGATATGTAGTTAATTTCTAATTTAATTTATCTCCAGACCAATTTGAATCTGTATACCTACTACTATGTGTTTTGGATTATTATTTAAAAGCAGTCTTAAATTAAACTTTAAGTATCTGCCTCATCTTGTTAATGGCTTATTAACAATTCTTGTACGTTGGCTCATTTATCTTTTTATTCAGCAGTCCATCTACATTGGTTATATCCTAATTGCAGCTTTCACACAGTTGTCTTATATTATTCATTAATTGTCAACTTGCTTCGGCTTTCTCCTTTGTTTACATATCCAACTTTCTTGGGTGTAGTTGATTCTTTAAGTCTATTATGTTTTGGTTTTGACTGAACAGATAAATTCCACTTTTGTCCTTTTGTATAGCTAATATCCCCTTGGTATTTTATTTCCCTATCTTTTTTAAAAAAAATTCACTATGTCAAAGTTGTCTCATTTGTTCTTGATACAAACAGTTACATCATTGACAATAAAGAATGCAAACATCTTGTATGTAAACATGGATCTCCATTTCCCTTTTCAAAGTCAGCGTTTTCAAAATTTGCTTTGGCTGCTTGTTTTAGCCCATGTATGGATTTTGCAAAATACATACACATATGTCTCTCTCTCTCTGTGTGTGTGTGTGTGTGTGTGTGTGTGTGTGCATTAGATACTAATGTAAATATTAAACTCAGAATGATCATAATTGAAGTGCATCATCTGACTTACACTAAGTTAGTGATATTTCTAAAACACTAGTTTGTACTCCAGTACAATAATCTTCAAACCTTGTACCACTGAAATTTCCAAACGATTTTTACATGAAGCAGAGTAATATCAATTTAACTACCATCATTATTCTTCTAATACATGTACCAATAATGTATCAGAAAAAATAACAAGGAACATCTCAAAATGAAGCCTGCAGTTTTAAAAACTCTTAAATACACTCTGTGAATCATTTATGTAATAACTCAATATTTCAGTTTTCTCCAATTTGGAGGCCTTTCTGGGAGATAGGATACTTTTACAAAGATAAATCATTAAATAAATGAAATATATTACTAGTGATTGCCTTGCCAAGAATATAAATGTCAAATGTTTATCACTGCCAGGTTATTTCAACAAAATTTCAGGCAATTTGAAATTGATATTAATTTTCCGAAATTCAGTTCTTGCAATTTTCAAGCAGCAGAGCTGTTATATGTTTACTCTTTATACATAATCTAACATTGGAGAAGACTATGGGATTTGAACTCCAAGGCTGAAGAAGAGGATAGTGGCTAATTTTGATCTTTAAGATAATATTGCTAGAATTTATCTCCTTAGATAAGAGGAAATAGTAATTATATTCATTGCTTTTGGAGAACTTGATTTTTTTTAACATTGCTTAAAATGTAACCAGAATTTATCAGTTTATACTGAACCACCCCAACTCTTTACTAATGAAATAAATAAATAAATAAATAAATAAATAAAATGCATACAAGTACTTGAGTTATTTATCAATGTAAAGTTAAGTAAAGTGGTAGTTCATTTTGATTGCCAAATGCTATTCAGAATCCAGTACAGTTAAAATGTTCATAAAGGATGCTCTGTGAAGCACTGCATTAAACAGTTCAGATGGCCTGCTTATTTATAGCACCTGTCCTTCCTTCTTGCTACACACACCCCCACTGCCACCAGCGTTCCTCTTTTTTTACAGCTAATAGAAAGATTCATGATTCTTCATGGTTGTCTATCTAGTGTCTGACAGCACTGACTCCCCTTGCTAAAGCAACTCACTATCTATAATTGATATCCTTCTAAGGAATGGGGTGCTGACTGTAATTGACGGGCTTTGCTGAAAGCTCTTAAATCCTGACAAGTTCTGCCCTTGTTCTGGTTCAGTCACTGAGCTACACTGCTGGAATTTCTAGGTTATTTGAACTTTGAGCAAAAGAATAGCATGTGTTTCACATTAGCAAATCACAAAGCTGGAGAGTAGAACTATGACCTGGACTGTTGGATTTCCTGCCAATCTCATTTACAATGCATGAGACTTCTAAAAAGATTACCTACTTGTACAACCACTGAAATTTCTTCCCTCCCTCCCTTCAAAGAAAACAACAAAAATGCTGTATTGTTTAGATACTGTTTTCTGAAGATCCTTTTATCATTCTGCTCTTTAATTAATTTCTCTGCCCACAAGATAGAGTACTATAATTCTGGAAGTTTGTTTTAAAAGATATGATAAAATTACTCCTGAGCCCAGAAGTTAATAAGACATTGCATATTTCATTCCTTCCCTTAAGTCTTATATTTGTTGAACCTCAGTTTTTTATCTCTTCAATTACATGGAAAACAAAAATTACCAAAGAGAGAGTAAAATGAATGTTTAGGAAAAATAAGGGCAGAAAGGAAAGTTATTATTTAATGTGAATAAAATGGCACTCAGAAAACTGAAACATTTTTCCTTGTCATTGGTTCAGGTATAGTGTAATAACATTTGATTTAAAACTAATCTTGAAAATATATTGTTCAATGAGAATATATGGGTTTTTCTTTATT